CACAGACCAGGTATTTGAGAGGAAGGAGGGGGAGGTGGTGAGAGGTTAAGGAAGAAATCTAAAGATGCAGAAAAAAGCAACACCAGCAGCCAACAAATGGCACTCAGGGTGGAGGGAGGGAAGCAGTACCCTTTGGTACATGATCAGCACAGTGTATACTGTTCATGACACTGTCACTGAAACAGACATTTAACACACATCCTTCAATAAAATCTGACAGCTACCAGCTCAGTGCTGAGGTCATGCAGGCCACCAAAGCAGGCTGAAACTTTTTCTGGAGTCAAAAGTCTCTCAGGTCCTTGGGCTGTGTTCTGCTAGGGGTGCAGGACACAGTGGTTTCAGAAGTTCCTCATGCCTTGGGGTGCCAGCAGGCTCTCCCAGGTAGGAATGGGTTGGGTAGGAGAGGGAGAGGGTGCCCTGGCAGGGGCCTCAAGTTTCCTCCGGATGGATGAGAGGGCATGAGCTGGCCTCGAGGTCCTCTGGCCACTCATGACAGTGGAGCTCTCCCCCTCCAGGGCTCACACCTCCTCTATGTCCGAGTCCCAGCCTTTGTGCCTCATGTGGCCTGTGACTGAGGCTGTAACTGCTAAATAAACAAAGACGTGTGGCCCCATAGAGATTCTTGTTCACAAAGCAGACATGGGTTTCTGCTCCACTGAAAATGCAGGGAAAGTGAGGGTGGGCCTTCCGCCAGGTCACACACTTAAAGGATTTCCACAGGACACAGCAAAAAAGGTTTTTTCCTTATTGTAAAAGTAACACGTGCTCATTGTAAAAATTCAAACCTGTACAAAATATGTACTGTGTTGTTTCTCATCCTCCAGCTGCCCAGGGGTACCTGAAGAAATTCAGATGAATTTCTTCTCACATAAACAAGGACACTCAGCTCCACTCCCCCACACCCCTGCGCACATCCACATACACTCATTACCCCCAGCGCCACCCCCATACCCCTCAACACTGTTTTTCTTTACAAAAAGGGATCATACTATATACAAGAACACATTTATAAAAAGAGGCGGTTCTTCCAGATGCTGGCATATGGATGTAGGATGTGCCTCATAACTCCTATTATTCTGATTCTTCCTTAACTGCTCTGAGCCTTGGTGTCTATGTTGGGGAGGCAGGGATGAGAATAACATCACCGGTGTCTGTAAGGCTCAAGTGCAATTTACACTTATATGAAATCATTCTGCAAACTGTCAAGTGTCAAATGTATCTGAGGAATGATTACTGCCACCCTCCTCCCCACCCTCCAAACAGGAAACAACTGGATTTTTAAAAGGACTTCAGGAAGATGACAATGCTTAAGTCAGTGACCCAGACCACTTGAAATGAGGCTGATGGGATGAGGAGAGCTTGGTGGCCTCCAGGCGCCTCCAAACAGCGCCCCAAACACCCCCTTGGTCTTTTAACAGTGAACTTCGGTCAGCAGAGATGCTGAGCAGACACTGCTCTTGAGGGGCTTTGGGATTTATGCAGGTCCTCTTCACCTGCAAAGACAAAGGCGGGAGGTGACACTGGCCCTCTCCCAGGTCTCCCTCCAAATTCAGGCAGTGGTTCCTCGGAGTGATCCCCACCCCCTCCCACACAGACAGGGCTTGCTCCCCTCTCTCTACCCTGCTGGGGATGGTCCAGGACAGAGAGATGGGGCAGAGGGCTGAGACTAGGGTTACAGACAGGGAATACAGCCCACCCCCGCCTCCCACCCTCATCTTTGGTTCTAAGGCATCTCAGTCATAGCTTGGGAGCATCTCCAGCCCTTGGGGTTCCTCTCCCCAGTCCTTCCCCATCCCACAAATCACCTGGGGCTTGCTGGTAAGATTCCTTATCCCTGGCTGTGGGGAAAAAAGAACACAAACGAGACTAGGTTGGTGGTAGGTAGAGGAGGGGAGAAGGAGGTGAGGTGGCCCCTGGGCCACCACCATCCCACTCCCTCTCCTTCTGGACCCTTTCCAAGGTCAGGCCCAGTGGTCTCCCCAAGACTGTGGGATCGGCAGGGTCCAGAGGGAGATATGTGGATGTGGGATGGGGTGCTGGGGCTGAGGGCTTCTCTAAGAGTGGAGGCAGGGGCACCTCAGCAGTAGCTGCTGCTCTCCAGGTGGGAACAGTTCTGGGTGAAGGGAGGAGAGCAGAGCATTCCTCCCTATAGGGCTGGACTAGCCAGGAATGCCTTCCACCCCTTTGTTTCTTCCCACTGACCTGGAAGCTGCATCTTGATCCAGATCACAACTCCAGCCACTAGGGAAACGGTGACCAGGATGGCGAAGATAACCATGGTGGCAGTAATTCTTGGATGAGGGGGTGATTCTAAAGAAGGTAGAGAAGAGGGAGCATCCCCCCCAGCCACAGAGCTGTCTCAGGGTGCGGTGGGGCTCCTCCCTCCCCCTTCTCTCCCCCTGTTCAGCCAAACTGCGGCTCCTCACCCCAGGTCACAGTGAGTGCATGGTTCAGGCCCCGGTGCTGCACGTGGCAGGAGTACCAGGCCTCCTCCCCAGCAGGCACCTGCACAGCTGCCCACTTCTGGTAGGTGCCATCCCCGCTGGGGCGTGTCTCCACATGCTCAGTCTCTAGGGCCAGCTCCTCCCCACTCAGCCACCAGCTCAGGGAGATGTCCCGTGGGTAGAAGCCCAGGGCCCAGCACCTCAGTGTGGTCCTACCATCCTGGCCCGTGTGCCTTGTCACCTGCACCTTGGGTGGCTCTGCAGGGAGAAGGAGGAGGAGGGTAAGAAGGCTGGTGAGCGGCTGCTCTCTGCCCATCTCATCCCCCATGTCTTTATCCCGGGTGCCTCTGCCATCTTCCAGGGCTGGAGGACAGGTAGGAGATGGCAAGCAGGGTCTCTCTCCAGGGGAGCTACAGGGGACCCATCAGCAACTGACCCAATGAGGCATCATCCTGGGAATTCCCATGTGGGAGATGTGACTTCCCATCCCCAACCCCTAAGAGGGTCCTGGCCGGGGCTGTTGGCTCCTGTATGGACACACATGTTCCCTTTCTTCCCACAGTGACCCTAGAGTTTTCTCAGAGCTCTGCATATTTCCCTGTGACTTCCTGCACACAGTAGGTACCTAATATGCATTTGTTACGTGAAAGCAAGGTTATGACCTGTGGTGCAGTGAATTACTTAATATAGCCCTTCTAGCTGTAGTCTTTTTAACTCCCACCAAATGACTAGGTGAGGACTATGCAGATGAAGTGCTTGTGGCCCACAAAGGGGATTGGATAGCTTGCTAATAATGCAAATAAGGTGCATGGTACCCTTGTGGGAATGATACCATGCAAATAAGGTGTATGGAACCCTAATGAGGGGATTGGTCAGTCTTGCCATTCTGCTAGGCTTACAAAGAGCAGTCAATCCAGAGCAGAGACGGGAGCCTATTACCACAAAGAAAGAAGATCTAGGAGTGGAGCATGTCCATTGGACCTAGGATCCCTGCGCTGAGGCCTCCTAGACCCAGGAGATGGAGAGAGAGAGAGCTGTAACACCGGAGACAGTGAGAGATGGTGAGAAGCAGCAGAAGAGAAACAGCGGCAGCAGAGGCAGCCAAACCAGGAGACTGGCAGGAGATGGTGTGGTGGGTTTTCTTGCCCATGGAGCAAGGTGGTTACAGTTGGGTGTGCCGACCCACAGAGCCAGAGAGCTAAGCACCTTCAGACTGAGGCTTACTAGTGGAGTGGTAGGCCCCTGGTACTTACTGGCAGAGCTAAAAGAGCTTTGTAACACTTGGCCAAGTGGGACAGAGGCCGAGGGGCCAGAAAGAGGCATGCCTATGGGCACAGCTAAGAAGAAGCTGTCCTGATTGATGGAAGAACTGTATTCTGAGCTGTTCATGAGCCTGAACTGTAACCTGTTACTTTCCTGATAAACTTCATAATCATGAATATTGTCTGTGAGTTCTGTGTGGCCATTACAATGAATTATCGCACCCAGCAGAGAAGTAGAGAGTGCTGTGGCAAGGACAATTGGTGTCAGAATTGGTAGAAAGGTTGGAGGGTGGATGCATGTCTGACCTCTACCTCACAGGAATCAGCCTTGGGCTGTTGATCTTGATTCTCCTTCCCCCTTGTGAAGTTAGAGGAGATCTCTACCATGCCATTTTTACATGACCCTTCCCTGACCTCAGAACTAGGTTGGTTAAAGTGTGGGCTCTGGAGTCAGACAGCCTGGGCTTGAAGCCCAGCTCCACCCTTTTCTAGCTAAGTGACCTGAGGGAAGCCCCTTAATCCCTGTCTCTCAAGGCTTAATGGGGATTAATGGTTCCTTCCTCTCAGGATTATTCTGAGACTCAATAAGCTAACTGAAGTAAAGGGCCTAGAATGAAGCCTGGTATTGAGTGAGAGTTCAACACTCACTTATTTCACACACACCAATATGGTGCTTCTGGGAGGCAGGTGATGTTATTACCATCTCCATTTTACTGATGAGGAAACTGAGGCACAAAGAGGACAAGCTACTTGCCCAAGATCACACAGCCAGCAAGTCATGGAGCTGGGATCTGGATGAGGAGGTTGTGCTCCAGCGCCTGAGCTCTGGGCCACCACCCTCTGCTCTCATAATCGCATCATCTCCTCCTGACTTTATTTGTGTGACCTTAATACTCCCCAGCATATTTTCTCCTTTTCAAAACGGGTGACTGACAACTTGACATAACTAACGCCATGATGAACCTATAAGTTTTTTTTTCCTTTTTTCTTTGACTTCTCCTTTTCGCATACCTTTGTTAACGACTTTGTTTTGCTCTGTCCCCACCACCTGTGGTTTATGACCCAGATGTCAGATAAGGAAATGTCCGGCATTTATCTCTCTAGTATGATAAAGAGTCTCTTGTAATAAATAATGACACTTCTAACCTTTGTAAAAATCATATATAAACTCTGATGTAAAAATGCCTTTTTGGGACTCCACAGAGACAGCCTGCATTGCTGTTGGATCCCTGGTGGTGTACACTTCCTAAATTAAAACTTTCTCACTCTTCCTGACTTGGATATGTTTCATTAGCTTGACTGCTCTAGGGCGCTGACCCTATTACGGTAACATTTGTCCTGTCTTCCCTTCTAGGAACGTCTTCCCTATTGTCTCAGCAGATTCACATTTCCAACAGTCAAAAACCATGAATGGTGTGCTACATACTCTGACTCAGCACCACCACCACCCCGCCCCCGCCCCAGGCAGCCTCCCTGACAACCACAGCCTGAAAGGCCTCCTCCACTCCTCAGCATCCCCAAGCACCCATTTCCCTACTGTCTGTCCCAGCTCTTGTGTCTTGGAAGTACATAACTCCTGTATCTCCAGCTCTGCTGTTTAGGGTTAGGAGAAGTTTACTACATGGTGCTGAATGGGCCCGGGGCCTGAGCAGCAAGTTAATTACAAGGAGGGATAGGGGTGGGGAGGAATGGGGATGAGGGGCCTCAGCTTTCCTGGTCCAGGGACTGGCCTGGTGATGGACGCCATCCGCTGGAACCATTTCCCAAGGAGCAGAACCACAGGACATTAGACCTCAAACTTCATGAGCCACCTGGTTTAACGCACTCACTCTACAGATGAAGAAACTGAGTCCCAGAGTTATGGGGTTAATTACCCAAGACCACACTGTGGGCAGAGGAGACCCCAGAACTCCTCACTCCAGGCTAAGAGCACTGGGGTGAGGGTCAGAGGTTGGGGCTTTCCTCCCGCTACGCTGCTAGTCAGTCGCATTTCTGGGCCTCTGGAAGCTTGTCTGAGACGGGGATGGCAGCCTATCCTCTCCACCCTCACAGGCCTATCTGTAAAGTTGATGGCACTTGCACATGTGAGGCATGGGGACTGCTCTTTCAATTGCCATGGGCTATAAGAGCTCGGCTGCTAACCAAAAGGTTGGCAGTTCGAATCCACCAGCTGCTTCTTGGAAACCTATAGAGGCAGTTCTACTCTGTCCTACAGAGTCACTATGAGTCGGAATCAACTCAACAGCAATGGGTTTGGTTTTTTTTTTAATGCCCTCACCTGTGCGGATCAGACTCTGGCCTCCCAGCTCCAGGTACCTGCGCAGCGAGGTGAGACAGAGGCCTTGCAGGTAGGCCTTGTCGTACTCGGCGTAGCAGCGCTCTGTCTCCCACCAGCGCTTTGTCCGTAAGGCCACAGGATGGGCTGACACCCAGCTCAGTGTATCCAGGTCCAGTGACAGGTGGTCCTGCCCATTGAAGCCAAATTGCCAGAAACTGCTGGAGCGGCCATCCTCCTGGATCTCACAGCCGAACATACGCTGAGCACTGTGCTTGCCTGAGTATACCAGGCAAGAAGGCAGCAGTCAGCGAGGGCCACTGGGGAGAAACCCACTACCACGGGGCCTCTGAAGGGGTGGGAGAAGGCAGGACGTCAGTATTTTTTAAAATGCTCCCCAGGTAATTCTCATGAACAGCCAGGGCTGAGCAACCTGCTGGGCCTCTCTGCAGCCCCGTTTCCTCATCTGAGAAGAAGACCTAGTTCCATAACTTTAAGACACTGTTATTTTATATTCCACTAAGATGGAAAAAAAAATCTGCCATTTATAAGATAGGTCCCTGGGTGGCGCAAGCGGTTTGTGCTCATCTACTAACCAAAAGGTTGGCAGTTTGAACCCACCCGGCGGCACCACAGAAGAAAGGCCTTGTGATCTGCTTTCATAAAGATTACAGCCAAGAAAATCCTTGTATTATTCATGGGTGGTTAAGACTAATATAGCCTGATTTCAGAGATGTGAAAACTGGTGCGCTTGGCTGTTATCACTGTCCCACAGAGTGGGTGGCTGGCTGTTCATGCTTATCCTGGAGACCCTGGGCTGGTTCCCTCGAGCTCCAGCCACAGGAACGCTCTGTGACACAGGTCAGGCCAGAAACATCTCACCCTTTCATGCTCTACTTCTTTGAGGCCTCTGGGGACCTGTGGTTTTTGGTTCGGTCATTTGGGTGTCTTGGCATAGAGTAAGAGGATAAACTAACACGCATAGTGTGCAGTGTGAATACTCTGTGTTCCACATATTACTTCACTTAATTCTTGCAACATCCCTGGCAATAGGCATGAGCCTGCTCATTTCAGAGATGAGGAAGCAGAAGCTGAGAGAAATGCCCTCTCTCTCACTGACATTCGATTTGGCAGAGCAGGAGCCTGGCCTGCATCTGTCTCACTCTTCACCCAGGTTCTCTCTCCCATCCTGAGCTGTCAGCCTATTTCACTTAGTGACCCTCTCCTCACCTGGCAGAGATGGCGTTTAAGAGAGGTGGAGAGGGCACGTTTTGAAGCATTTGGAGGGGGTGGGAAGTGAGCGAGGCAGGGAACCCTGGGCAGTCGAGGGGGAGGCAAGGATAATGAGATGGGCAGGCATCGCGGGCCCCCAGGTCTGCGGACGCTCCTCACGCTGGCCCGCGGAATGGCCGCTGGAGCCAGAACCGATTTTGAAGACTCTCTCTGGCCTGCTTGGCTGGGGCGGGAGGAGACTGAAGGGCCAAGCGTCAGGAGCCTCGACCTCTGACGGGGCTGGCTGCCTGTCCAGGAGGCTGACCAGCATTTGTTCCCTTAGTGGACAGACATGAGTTGCCTGGAGGTTCTGCGTTCAGAGTGTGCGAGAGAGTGGGACCACCTCTCAAAAAGCAAAGAGGGGATAGGGAAGAACAGGGAGCAGAAGCAGGGAGACGGGACCGGCGCGGTGCCTTCCTGATACCCTGCTTCGCCAAAGGGTCCAGACGCCCCATTGCTGCCCTGATACCCCGCCCCGCCAGGCTGCCCTACCCCGCCCTGCCCCGCCCGACTGGACTCCATGTCCCATTCTGACAGCCCGCCCTACCCCCACCCTCCCAGCCCTAACGGCCTGCCCAGACACCCTAAGGCATCCCAGACATTCTGGCCCACCAGGCCAGTCCTCCGCCATGCCCCGCCCCTGCCAGCCCACCCTCTACGACGCCCCGCCCCAACGCACCGCTGCTGTGGTTGTGGTAGCCCATCACGGTCCACATCTCCACCTGCTGCACCTTCTCCCAGACCCTCAGCTTCTGGGTCTCCCTTTCCCAGTACTGGGCGTCCACGGCCGCCATCCACAGGGCCTGGGGCTGGGCCCTGCCCACGCGACTGTCATACCGGATGAAGGGCTGGTCGTCCACATAGCCTACAGCCAGAAACTGGGGGAGGCCCTGGCCTGGCTCTGACAGGGCCAGGTAGTGGTAGTGGAGAGAGTGGGTCCCTGCAAAAACATGGATGTGGTCTCAGGCTCACGTGCAACTGCCAGGATTTTCACTGGGAATCGGGTTGATGGGGCTGGTGGCAGGGTGGGAGGTGAAGGGAGTAGAAACCTACCCAGACAGTATTCCCTATTAGTAGGATCAAGAACTGGGAATTTTGGTTTAAAAAGAAAAAAAGAACATCCAAATTGTCCAATAGTCTAAATAAACAATCAACAAATCAACACAATTTTGAGGCCAAAGTTCATGCACTAAGGTTTGTGGACTTTAAGCCGGGAAAATCTCTCAGACTCTCACTCAGGGCCCACTTATCCTACTTTACATTCATCTCTAATAAGTGGGATTATCTGGTTTCCCACTTCGCAATTAAAAAGGATGTGATAAAAAAAGAAAATCTGGCTGTTTGGAAGCTTTATGTGAAATTATTCATTCCCAAAGATGCCTGACAAAGGCCAGCCATCACACTGCTCATAAATCTTTGTTGCCAAGTTGGCGGCATCTTGATTTCCCTTACTGCTCCCACGGCTTACATTGCTAGGCTATCTCTATTCTCTTTAAGTCCAAATGCTGTCTTGAGGTTTCTCTGTACTGTGTCTTCAGAAGCCCTCACTCATCAATTTGTTTGGTCCTAGAGATGAAATCCATTAGCAGCCGGTCCTGACTCAAGCTATATAAAAACAAAAGCTGTTATCTTTAAAAATTCAGCATACCTACAATATGGTGTAATTATGAATGAGAGCATTTGAGGAGGATTTAGACAAAAAACTATGATTTAAATCATCATGTTGAAAGTGTGTTTAGGCCCCCCTTGTGCAAATTTATGAATATGAGACCGAGGGACACTCTGGATTACAGAAGTGAATTGAATGACCAGCTGATGGTGAAACAGAAGGAGCAGGCCAGGACATTGTGAGACTGAGGTTGTCATGGCAGTGGAGTGGCAGGTTAAGAGTGACAGTTTATGTGGTAGAAATAATGGAGCGGAATGATGATATCATCCTTTGCTTAGAAAAGAAATAGCCACGTTATAAATCCAAGATTAATAATTAGTCTCAGGCTTGGAAACTACAGAAAGGGCAATGATCTGAGAGAAGACTTCAATCAAAAGAACCAGACTAACTGTGAATGTATAGGATTCACATTTAACCACTGAGCATGTATGCATTTTGGTTCCATTTTGTCTACAATGTAAAATATATGTTAAGTTCTCATGATTTAATTAAATTTAATTGTACTTTCATTAAAAAAAAAAAAAAAAAGAATGCACCTTTGCCAGAGATATTAATGGCTTGCTACCCTCATCTCATTTTAATCGAAGGTTTTGCTCAAATGTTACTTTTTCGGTGAGGTCTTCAAAATTTTGCCCACTATATTAAATATTTACCTCCACACTACACCCTAACTCCCGCCCTGCAACATTTTTCTCCAGAACACCTGCTACCTTCTATAAAAACCAAACGTGCTGCCATCGAGTCAAATTCCGACTCAACAGACTATGTATTTTACTTGTTTAACTTGTTAATAATCTGTTCCTCCCCCTCAAACGTCAGATCCCCCAGGGCACAGATTTCTGTACAGTTTGTTCTCTGATGTTTCCTCAGCACCCAGAACAGTGCCCAGCATACAGTAGGTGCTCAAAGGTTGAATATCCAAATGTGAAAGAAGCAAGTCAGACATCTCCACACTCAAACTCTGTGTTCACCACCTCCTTGCTACTTTCCGGCCACATCAAACTCTGCCCAGGCCCTCTGTTAGACCCAGACCTCTGGGCCTTTGCACCTGTGCTCCTTCTGCCCCAAGCACTCTCCTCCCCCTCTTCTCTTGGCCAATTTCTCCTTATGCTTCAGGTTGTAGCTCAGGTATCCCTTCCTCCAGGAAGCCCTCCTGATTCCAGGCCAGGACTGGTGAGAAAGGTAGCAACGTGAATCACCTGGTTATTCCATTAGGGCATATACACGGTCTACTTACTATTTAATGTTTCATTTTAGCTGCTTTAATGACAAGTTATTTTTGATTAGAAATGAGAGGAAGTCTGGCAACTTAATATTTTTAAAATTTACAAAACACTTCTAAGCACTCACATGCTGATCTCTGTGCTGAGAACTTTACAAAATGTTGGCTCAGTTCACCCTCATAACAACATTATGAGGTAGGCACTATTGTTAACTGTCCACGAAAGATGAGGAAACTGAGCCACAGAGAGGCAAGGTCACCTGTCAAGCTCACACCAACAATGAAAGGCAAGGCCAGAATGCACACCCAGACTCTCAAGTCTGTGGGGGCTTAAGGGCTTCTCCAGGAGGCCTCTGGTCTCACTGCGTTTTTAGTAAACACACTTCTGGCTGAAACTGTTTGGCTGCAACAGATGAGCATCCTCTCTCCCCACGGCATCTTCCCACTATCTACCCTCCCCAGGCAGAGGCAGCTCAGGTCTACCCATGTCTTTGGATTCCCTGCCCACCCTGGCAGCCTAAATTATATACCCAGTGATGACCTACACTCCCCCACCAACTCAGCAATGTTTTCTGAGCACCTACTGTGTGTCTGGCACTCTCCTAGGCCTGGGGATGCTGTGATGAACTGAACAGCCTGAAATCCCTGCTCTCAGGAAGCTCACATGATAAGCAAGATAAAAGAATAAAATGTATGATAGGCTGGACAGCAATAAGGGCTGATGAGAAAAAAATAAAGCAGGGAAATGTGAAATATTAGGGGAAGGGTTTTAAATTTCAGAGAGTGGTCAGGGAAGGTCGCTCAAAAAAGTAAACTTCTGAGTAAAGACCCAAAGGAGTCAGGCACGCGGAGATCCGAGAGAGAGTATTGTAGGTCTGCAGAGGGAACCACAAGTGCAAAGATCCTGAGACAGAAATGTGCTTGTGGTGTTTGAAGGATACTGAACCACCAGGGCTCCCTGCAATAATGCAGGAAGGAAAAAAAAAAAAGGTGGCGTGAAAGAGTGTAGTAGCAGTAGGGGTTTAAGAAGTGGTCGAATCCTGGATCTTGTCCAGGGTTGTCCAGATGGTTATCTGGAATGGCCTGAATGTAGCCTCTGGTCTAGCCCTCCCTGCTGTGGGGGCTCTGGTTCCTGGCCTTGACTTCTGCTTTGCCCTGGACTGCTTCTACCCATAGCCTAAGCTCTGCCATCAGGTGCTCATCCTGGGTGTCTGGAACCTGCTTTGAGGACAAGTTCATGATCACGGCCTCCTCACACAGCTGACTTCCAGGTACTGTTTTCCACATACCCAGTGAGGGGCCTGCCATTTCTCCTTCCCTGAAAATCCCACTGTTGTCTGCTCCACCTATCAGATAAAGTCCAGCCTGCTCTCTGTGGGGGCTCACACACTGCCCACACCCCTTTTGCCCCAGGAAGAGGTCTTAGCTAGGCCTAGACTCCTACATGCTCACTACCCAACCCAGGAGAGATCACCATGCCTTGGGCTCCAGCCCAGAAAGGGACAAAAGAAGCCAAGGAAGCAATCATCAGATCACCTCCCCTGGCTTTGGAGCTGTCACCCTCACTGCTGGGCTGATGGAGGTAACAGCTGGGTCAGCGTCAGGCACTGTGCAACTAAGGCAGGAGGAAGTGGGGTTGCATGAAACATCCTGGGGAATTTGCTCCTGCTGTGATATTGCCAGGAGTCCCTGGGTGGTGCAAAGCGGTTAAGCACTCAATTACGAACGGAACCCACCCAGAGATACCTCAGAAAAAAGGCTTGTCGATCTGCTTCTGAAAGGTCACAGCCTTGAAAAGCCTACGGAGCAGTTCTACTCTGCACATGTGAGGTCACCATGAGTTGGAATCGACTCCATGGCAAATGTACTGGTGGTGATATTGCCTAACGAATTAGTCACATGCTTATTGCTGCCTCAGGGTTTGTCTGTGTCATCAGCCACCCACTGTTCCTTCCTGGTCACTGGGCCACCGCCCCTAACAAGAGGCAGTCTCCCACCACGCTTAAGTACAGCCTCCCTCTTCCTTTGACTGTGGGGAGGGGAGGGAGATGCTTGGTACTTCCCCCCAGCACCTCCCCAGAAGCATCTGCCCACCTCCCCACAATACTCCTGGCACTGCCACTCTCTAGCTGTGTGGCACTGAGGAAGCTATTTAATAGCTCTAGGCCTTGGTTTCCACATCTGTAAAGTGGGGGCAATTAATCTTCCACAGTGCTATAAGCATTAAATGAGATCATGAATATAAGAAAGAAATATGGACATGGAGAAAGAACTCTACAGATATTACTATTCTTATTAGTCTCCCCCTTCCTATAGTGAAGAGGGAGGTAGGCAAGGGATGGAGAGAGCTGGTGGAGGAGGTTAGGGGCAGGGGGTTGGCAAGCTGCCTAAGTGAGGAGGCCAGCCCTCAGTAGGCCTGGCCCCAGCCCCAGGCACCCTCTAGAGGCTCTGGCCACTGAGTTCCCCACCTCCCAACCTGAGATGGTCTGCCCAGACTCCCAAGACTATGCACCCTCCCTCCTCCTACAGGCTGGAGGCTCTGGGCCTCCACCATTCCTGCCCCTTCTTCAGCAGGTGGGATGGGGGTCTTACCTCCAGGCCATGGTTTTTTTCCTAACTCCTGACTGGCCAGCTCTGCCATCACCTCCTTTGCAAAGGAAGCTGGGCCATCAGCCACCACGGGCAGCCCCCAGGGACTCTCTGCAAGGGTAAAGGGGGAGAGGGAAGTATGACTCTCCAGGCATAAATATTCCACACAACCTGGTTGACCTGTGGGAGAGATGGTAGAGATGGCACAAAGTGACAATGAGAGGCATGTTCAAAGGGAAAGAAGGACGCTGGGTGTAGTGAAATGACTCCCTTTATGTGGCCTTTTGTCTTGGTTCTTTGGAAAGAAAACAGCTTAAGAGATTTTTTCCCTAAGCCCTGAGGAGTTACCTTTGCCCTAGTGTTCTACCCCAGAGGGTTGTTACTTTTGTCCAGGTTGATTGACATTTTCCGGGCAAGCTGTAAACAACTTGACTTTTTGTCTAGCCCTGGGCTGCAGCCTGCCCTGTGATTGGTATGCACCTTGCAGAGATTGGTCAACATACCAGTGCAAATAAAGTGACTATGGACTATGCAAATGAGGTGACCACAGCTTACTATGCAAATGAAGTGTCTGTGGCCTACTGAGAGGGGATTGGTCAGTTTGTGGCCTCCCCACAGGGAGGGGCCATGCCTTGAAATTAACAAGGAGTTGTGTATATATGCAGCCAACCCCACAGAAGTTTTTCAGACAGAAAGAAGCAGGAAGAGAAACAGCAGGGAAAAGCAGAAGGATGAAAGAAAAGAGAAGAAGCAGAGAGAGAGAGAGGAGGCAAGAAACCTCCTAAAAGAGCTGGAATATGGGTCAAGGGCTGTAACACTGGAGATGGCGACAGGCCCAGAGGGGCCTAGTGGCAGAGTTGATGGTGACAGATGGCAGGGTCCAGAGGAGCCTGTCCTGAGGGAGCTGAAAGGAGGCCTGCACTGCCGAGGGGGGCTGAGAGAGCTGTCCTCCACTGAAGAAGGGAGACTTTGCCTACATGCTTCCTGATGCTGAGCTACAGCCTGTTGATCTTGATCCCATGTTGCACCCCGTTACTTCCTTAATAAACCACTTATCTACAAATACAGTTTGTGAGTTCTGTGAGATGTTGCAGGAACTGCTGAACCCAAATGGGGGAGGGAAGAGTGCTGAGTGGAAGGAGAGTGGTGTCAGAGGTGGACTGGTACGGCAGCTTGGAGAATGTGGAAACCTGGTTAAGCATTTGACCTCCACCTAGTAGGAATTGGCTTTGTGCTGATTCTTATATTTGAAGTTATTTGTACACTGGGGCATTGCCTCAGGGGTGACTGGAAACTTTCCCTGCATGCAAAGTCCACAGGGTAAGTTCCCGGCCTTGCTGTTTTATTTAACAAAAGCTTCTAGTGCTTACTCTGTGCTAGGCTTTGTTCCAGAGTGTTACAAGTGTTAATTCACAAGTCTTCATTGCAATCCTGTGAGGCAGGCACTGATTATCCCTGCTTAGAGAGGAAGAAAGCCAGATTTTGACCCTCGGGTTGTCTTGCCTGCCCGGCTGGGCCACTCCCACCTCTGCCAGTGGTTCTCCACCCTGACTGTCTCCTAGAATCACCCAGGGAGCTTTGAAAATTCTGCACTGACACTGGCTTAGTTGGTCTGGAGTGGGGCCTGGACAGTGGCAGGTGTTGAAAGCTCCCAGTAATGCATATATTCCCCCCTCCTGGCACCGCCCTCTCAGCCCTCCGCAGCATACTCATTCTTGTGGTGTTAATGGGCAGCTGTGTGCTGTGAACTTCCTAACCTGCATGTCCAAGCCCTGACCTCTCCCCTTGCAATTTAATTCATTTGACAAATACCTACTGAGCA